AGTAGAATCTTGCAAAAGACAAAACAAAAACAGCTGCAACCATACATTGACAGAGAACTTCCAGAGGATCAAGCTGGATTCAGAAGAGGACATGGATGAACTATTGTTGTTGTTGTTATGTGCCGTGGAGTCGGTTACAACTCATAGCGACCCTGTACAGGGTTTCCGAGGCTGTAAATCTTAATGGGAGCAGAAAGCCTCATCTTTTTCCCGCGGAGCGGCTGGTAGTTTCGAACTGCTGACCTTGTGGTTCGCAGCCCAATTCGTAACCACTTCGCTACCAGAGCTCCTTGGATGAACTATAAAGAAGGTTACACAAGTGAGCAGAGCAGAAATGGGGAAAGAGAGAGGCCAAGTATCATGAAGATTGCCCAGAAGCAGAGGCTCAGAAGAGACAAAACACTCCTCCAGAGTCAACATAGAGAAAAAGCTGCCTAAGAATAAACACTCAATCTCAGCATTGGTTTCAAATGCAAGGTCGGTGGTTCAAACTTACCAGCCACTCCTCAGAAACCCTCTACAGGGTTGCTATGAGTTGGAACCAGCTTGATGGTACACAACAATAACAGTAGAGCTGGAGAGCTAGTACACCGAACAAGGGCTTCTGACCTCCCAAAATGTGAGAAAATAAATTTTTGTTAAAACAAAACAAAAAAGGACATGGAACTAGGGATATCATTGCTGACAGATGGATCTTGGTTGAAAGCAGAGAATACATTATCAACTTTGCAAAGGCTTTGATTGTGTGGATCATGACAAGCAATGGACAACATTGTGGAGAATCAGTGATCCATAACACTCAATTGTGCCTACTGAGGAACCTGTACATAGACCAATAGGTAACAAGTTGTTCAAGCAGAACAAGGTAACACTGAATGGTTTAAAATTAGGAAAGGTATGTGACAGAGTTGTATTCTTTCATCATATTTATTCAATCTGTATAATGAACAAATAACAAAGAAGCTGGATTATATGAATAAAAGCATGGCATCAGGACTGGAGGAAGACTCATTAACAACCTGTGATATGCAGATGATACAACCTTGCTTGCTGAAAGCTAAGAGGACTTAAAATACTTACTGATGAAGATCAAAGATCACAGTCTTTGCTATAGGTTGCATCTCAATGTAAAGAAAACAATAATCTTCACCCCTGGACCGAAAAACAACATCCATATAAATGGAGAAAAGGTTGAAGTTGTCAAAAGCTTCATTTTGCTTGGATCAAACATCAACACTCACGGAAGAGTCAGTCAAATAATTAAATGACATATTGCATTGAAAACAAATCTACTGTACAAGACCTGTTTAAAGTGTTCAAAGAGAAAAGATGTCAGTTTGAGGACTAAGATGCACCTAACCCAAGCCACAGTACTTTCAGTAATCTCATATGCATATGAAAGCTGGATAGTGAATAAGGAAGATCAAAGAAGAACTGATGGCATTTGAGTTATGGTGTTGGAGGAGAATATCGAAATTACCATGGACTTCCAAAACAAGAAACAGATCTGTGTTAGAAGAAGTACATCCAGAATCTTCCTTGGAAGCCAGGATGGCCAGACTTCCTCTCTCATACACTGGACATATTATTAGGAGGGACTAGGACTTGGAGAAGTATAGTTAGTATGTTTGGTAAAGTGGATGATTGGACAAAAAGAGGAAGATCCCCAACAAGATGGAGTAGCATAGTGGTGGCAGCAATGGGCTCCAGTATAGCAGATTGTGAGATTGGTGCAGGATCAGACAATGTTTCATTCTGTTGTGCACAGGGTTGCTAAGAGTTGGTGCTGATTCGATGGCACCTAACAAAAACAAAAACACACAGCCTGCAGGCCAGATGATCTCTACCCTTGCAATTCAGGGTCACTAAAAGTCTGAACCAACTCGATAGCACTTAACAACAATATCAGCTGTAGAAGAAATAAATGCTAGTAGGACAAATGGTTGAGGCCCTGGCTGCTAACCAAAAGGTTGACAGATCAAACCCACCAAGTGACCCAATGGCAGAAAAATCTGACAACCTACTTCTATAAAGACTACATCCAAGAAAACTCTTTGGGGCACAGTTCCACTATATCACACAGGATCACTCTGAGTGAAAAGTGACTCGATGTACCTAACAATAATACTAGAAGCAGGGGCAGAAGGGAAAGGAAAAGACAGAGTCATTGTTTAGGGGGTACTGAATTTCTGTTAAGGGTTACAGAACAGTTTTTAAATGGATAATGGTTATGGTGCTACAACATGAATAACAAAATTAATGCACTGAATTGCACATGCAAAAAATGTTAAACTACAAATGCTTTGTTGCATACATTTTACCACAACAGCAACAAAGTTTTATGCCTTTCATCCTGTTATGAGATTCTATAAATGAAATGGTATTATGAATTATAATATAATTAGATGCTTATCAAATGCAAATTTTATATAAACACAGCTATTCTCAGAACCCTATCAGAAAATGGAATATGGGTAATAGCAACATCCAAGTAGGGATACGCTATGTATCAGCAGAGAAACAAACAAATTTTATCTTAGGGTTGCATCAAGGAGAGTGACCAAAATTTCCTTGCTGATGAGAAATATCCACAAATACAGAGAATTTTCAGAGTTGCCTCATCAGAACCGGTTAACATTATTAGATCTATCACCCTCTATGGAAATATAATAAACAAAAATGTACCAGATTTCTCATGAAATGTTTCTATATAAAAAGGCAAAAACATTAAAATACATGAAACTATAAAATTTCCACTGAGAAAATGTTTCACGTTTCTAAGAAAGTTGTAAATGAAGAATATGAAGTTTACCACATCATCTATTACTAAAAATTTCTACACCAAGATTTTCAGTGTTCTGATACTCTAAAAAACCATAACTGAACAGATTATTGACCAACAAGAATTGCAGTACTAAAAATGTGAATATGAAGTAGAACGATATTTGTAAAACAACGTAAAGTTTTTTAGGTCAATGGTTAAACTACAAGGCAAAAAATAGATTTTTTAGCATAAACATCTCACTTCCCTTTATCTTGGCCATTCTTGAAAAGCCTGTACAAATAATCACTATGGTAGCTCTACTTTATATCTGGTATCCCTTGCCAATTCAAATTCTATTGGAAGTACTGGAGAGAGTCTCAGAGCTTTGAAGCTAAAAGGCAAGTTTGAAGCTTAAACATTATCATTCTCAAAGTAAGAAAACTGTGTTCAAAGAATATGATGTGATGTGTCCAGTTGCATACTTGGTTTGATAACTATGATTATGTTGGAGTTCATCACTAACTTAGATAGCAAATTATACATCAGTGCACATTTATACCATTTTACATTAAGCAAAGGTTTTATCTATGTTTGAATCTGATGGCTTTACTCATTCTAGGTATTTATTTGACCAGTATTTATAACAAACCTTTGAATCTACGTTTGTTGTTGTTGTTAAGTGCTGTGGAGTCAGTTCTGACCCATAGTGACCCTGTACAGGGTTTCCGAGGCTGTATTTAGGCTGTACAACCCTATGCAAAGTCATTTGAACAGCAAGGTCAGCAGTTCAAACTCACCAGCCACTCCTCAGAAACCCTACAGAGGGTCACTAAAGGAACTCTGGTAGCGTAGAGGTTACAAATCGGGCTGTGAACCTCAGAAACAGCAGTTAGAAACTACTAGTTGTTTTGCGGGAGAAAGATGAGGCTTTCTGCTCCCGTAAAGATTTTCAGCCTTGGAAACCCTGTACAGAGTCACTATGAGTCGGAACCAACTCCATGGCACATAATAACAACAACATGGGTCTGAAGTAACTCTACAGTACTTAACAACAACATGCTGCATTAAACTAAATGAAGCTAATTTTCAGGCTTGAAATAAATATTAGAGGGCTCTTAAAAGTTTTCCTTTCCAAGGGGACTTTAGAAAGTTTGTGGAAAACTGCACTATCTTTTCATTTCATTTTTTCCACAGTTTTGCCACCCTGCTTTATATAAGGAAATTAAAACCCAAAGAAGTGATATTTGTGATTCAGAATGACCTGGTGATCTACTTCTAAAAATCTGTCCATGAAAACTCTAATAAGGGTCACAGTGTCTGAGCACCCACGGAACATAGGGATGTATGTGCAAGATGGTGCAAGATTAGCAAGCTTTTGTTTTTGGGTGGTTTTTTTTTTCCCCCATTTTGCATGTGGTCAATATGAGTCAGGGATCAACACAACAGCTGCTAACAACAACAAAATCCAGAGATGTTAAACGTCTTACACCCAAATTTAGCTTAACTAATGATAAGACCCTCATAGTTTGATTTTTTTTCCAATTTGAAAATCTAAATGGACTACCATTAGTAACAGCTATTCTAGATATATTTTGAAAGACTCCAAAAATGGAAAATGATGACTACATTTGGTTTAAAATAAATCAAATTATTTCATACTGAAATAGCTAAATAGTAAACTTTAATGAGCAGTCCCTAAACCAAAAATCTTGACTACAAAATGCAGATTCAGATATTACTTTGGTCTTTGCTATTAGGCGCTTGTTGTTGTTGTTGTTAAGTGCCGTGGAGTTGGTTCCGACCCATAGCGACCCTGTACAGGGTTTCCGAGGGTGTAAATCCTTACGGGAGTAGAAAGCCTCATCTTTCTCCCGCGGAGCGGCTGGTAGTTTCGAACTGCTGACCTTGAGGTTCACAGCCCGATTCGTAACCACTACGCTATGTCCTAAAATCATTTTCTCATTGATAGTCAATGTTTGGAGATATGAAGCAATGTCTCTGACTGCACATCTCTCATGCGCAGATCAAGGCTGCATCGTAAGAACACTATATGAAGAACTAGTTACTACCATAAACAAAAGTATGCAAATGTACAACCTCTAAGGCATGTGAAAAGCAAATACACAAACAGAATGACACTTCTGGAAAACAAGTAGACAGTGACATTTATGTTAACTATAATGAAAAAAGCGGCATGAATGACTTTAAAAATAAAAACCAAATGAAATATTCTTACCTGTCCTGGGACTGCTCCTCATACATTCTCTCCTTGCCTTCTTTAAAGAGTCGTATCGCCCGTTTTGACTTTTTCATTAGACTATCAATGTAAATTTTAAAATATTCATTCTCACTGAGTTGGGCAAGTTTCTGGTTATCATCATATTTACTTAATATAAGTCGTAAATGTTGATATGTATCAGGTAAAATATCAAGTATATATGGTGGGCTATTCTTCAACTGAAGTTTGGGATTTTGGCACAGTCTCACCTAAAAAAAAAAAAAAAAAAAAAAGACAGAAATAAGACATTTTCATAGGAATCCCAATTCATTATTCCAAAAAACATTATACATTTATATAATTAAGTACTGTTTCTTCATTTTCTATAGTAAAAAATATTATATTAAATTATTACTATCTACAAATAACTGGTAAATTAACATCTGCTTTAATGTAATTAAATCCTCTTTCCTTCTTCCATTCAGCCTTTCCTGTATCATTCTTACTATCAATCCCTAATATTCTCAGTCTCTTTACTATAAATGCCCAATTATTCACAGCTTAATAGAATCCCTGCATACTAATCACTGTATACCACTAATAGTCTTGTTTTAAATAAAAATGAGGAAATGGGCCTCTTCTTTAAACATTATTTTACTACACTGAACTCCTGCTAAAGCTCGTTCATGGATTCTAATTAATGTTTTGGCATATTTTCCCAAAGGACAATAAAACAAAGAGCACAATTTTAATAACTGAGTCATTAAGTTGTAAATGGGTGTCAGGCCAGAACTAGTCTTTTCCACTTCCCCTTACTTACAACTATACCCATAAACATGCTATATAACGGTTCAGTCATCCACAGGTGGTACTTAACCACTGGGGCATTCAGGACTGCCTGCAGAATTGAAGATACCTTCTGCCAGCAAGAAAATGTTAGTTGTTCCACTATGTAAATTAAATATAAGTATATAAATTAACTTATATGTATTCATGTGATTTATCCCAGAGTTTCTCAAGCTCATTTTTACTCCTTTAATGAGAACAAGGAGTAGTGGTGTGGCACTGTGGGTTAATGCACCAGACTGCAAAGCCGTTTGAACTGCACAGTTGGCAGTTCAAGCTCACCAGCTGCTCCTCAGAAACCAACTTGACGGCACTTAACAACAACAACGAGAACAAAAAGAATCCTGAAATTAAAAATAAAAATTAAGTAAATCACTGAGAATTACAGAGTATTAAAACTATAAGGAGCTCTGGTAGCGTAGTGGGTACAAGTCAGACTGCTAACCTGAAGGTCAGCAGTTTGAAACTACCAGCGGTTTTGTGGGAGAAAGATGAGGCTTTCTACTCCCATAAAGATTTACAGCCTCCACGGCACACCAACAACAACAACAATATACACTCTGGAACTTCATAGCACTCTTACAAAAAGCAAACCTTGGTGGCACAATGGTTAAGCTCTTGGGTGCAGTTCAGAGCTACCAGCTGCCCTGCAACAGAAAGCTGTGACACGCTATTTCCATAAATTAGAGTTGTTGTTAAGTGCCGTCGAGTCGGTTTCGACCCATAGCGACCCTGTACAGGGTTTCCGAGGGTGTAAATCTTTACGGGAGTAGAAAGCCTGATCTTTCTCCCGTGGAGCAGCTGGTAGTTTCGAACCGCTGACCTTAAGGTTCACAGCCCGATTCGTAACCACTACGCTACCAGTACAGCCTTGGAAACCCTACAGAGCAGTTCTACTCTGTCCTGTAGCGTTGCTATGAGTAGGAATCCACTTGAAGGTAACAGATAGGTATGATGAAGCTAATGACCGTTAACATGGATGGTCATCTTCTAAGGTCTGAATCATAATTTTTAAAATATAATTTTCATGAAAAAGATATAAGCACAATTGGTTAAGATTACAGTCTTCTTCCAATATACTTACTTTTTTAGCATATTCAACCTCCTATTAAGGTGGCAATAGAGTCCTGATGTGTCACTGGAGGATAATACACTGGACAACAAGGTCAGTTTGGGCAGCAAGGGCCACAGTTCAAACACACCAGCTGCTCCTCAGAAGCCCTATACAGGGTTGCTAAGAGTCAAAACCGACTAAATGGCACATAACAACAAGTTTGCAATGGAGCAGTCAAGGGCATTTGTGGGATCTAATTAATGTAAACTTGAATTGGAGAAATATTTAGTAAGAATGGTGTAGTGGAAAATATATGTGGGACACATAGTCATTTCTGTGGTGGTAGTGGTAATGGTTGTGTACTGCCAAGTCGGTTCCAACTCACAGTAACCTGGTATAGGGTTTCCAAGGAGAGCAGAAACCCTCATCTTTCTCCCACAGAGCAGCTGATATATTCTAACTGCTGATTGCACAGTGAGCAGCCCAACTAGTAACCCACTATGCTACCAGGCTCCTTAGTCACTTCAGCAAATAGCTTAATTAGTGTCTTTTTTTTTTTTTTTTTTTTTAAGTCTTCAGGAATACTTCAAGTGCCCACAGTACTAAATAGCCCAGTATGAGGAAAGGATAGACAATTTCAAATTTGCCACCTGACCACGTATATGGCATCCAGTACTGTATGTATGTTCACAGAAGAGGATCAAAGCAGTCTACATTATTTCTCGGACTTTTCTATGTTGCTAGATTTGTCACCTTTTCAAAATTTTTAATTTGCTGTGACTAAGTTATTCTAAACAAAATCCATTTTAATATCTAATTGCGTGTTTGTACATTGTTATTTGTATTTCTTATTTCTTTAAAGGGGCCTTGTAATTTAAATTGTATGCTTCAGATTCCACAAAACATGGATTTTTCTTGGCTATAAATGTGCCTGGTTCAAGAACTATAAACAATAAATCAAGGAAACAATAAAATGAAGTAAGGGCAATCATACTTAGTATCTTACTTTCTTCAAAAAAGAAAACAAAAAAAAAACCTTATCATTTTTTGTACTGAAAAGAATCTGCCTCAAATTAAACAAGCATCAACCCCTATTCCCTAAATTAAACCAACCATTTCTCACATTAATCTAACACATTATCATATGTTCCTCTTCTTTGTATAACACTGTTGTTGCCAGGTGACCTCTACTCAATTCCGAATCATAACAATATTATATGATATATATAATAACAACACAACATAATGAAAGAATGCAGGGTCCTGCACTATCTTTTATCATTGTTGATAAGATTGAGCCTATTTTGCACCACTATGCCAATACATCTCATTTGGCATCTTCCTCTTCTCTGAACCCCACTTTACCAAGTATGATATCCTTTTCCAGGGACTGGTTCTATCTGATAATATATCCGAAATCTGAGAGATGACATCTGGCCATCCTGACTTCTAAGGAGCATTCTGGTTGTACATCTTACAACACAGATCTATTTGTTCTTACATCAGTCCATGGTACTTTTAATACTCTTCTCCAATACCACAATTCAAATGCACCAATTCTTCCAAGGTCTTTCTTATTCACTGTCCAACTTCCACATGCATATAAAGCTATCAATGTTATTTACTGGTTCAGTAGTGGGTATTTTTGTTTCCTTTACATTGAGATGCAATCTTTACTGAAGGCTGTGGTCTTTGACCTTCATCATTGAGTATTTTAAGTCCTCTTCACTTTCAGCAAACAAGATTGTAACATCTGCATACAGCAGGTTGTTAGTGAGTCTTCCTCCCATCCTGATGCCATACTTTTCTTCACATTATACACCTTCTTAGATTATTTGCTCAGTGTATGAACTGATAAGGCAGTGAAAGGATACAACCCTGATGTGCACCTTTCCTGATTTCCAACCATTCAGTATCCCCTTGTTCTGTTCCAACAGCTGCCTTTTGTTCTATGTATAGGTTCCTCATGAGCACAACCAAGTTCTGGAATACCCACTCTTCGAAATGTTATCCATAGCTTGTCATGATCCACACAGCCGAAAGTCTTTGCATAATTGGTAAAACACAAGTTAACATCTCTACGGTATTATCTGCTTTCATCTAAGATCCATCTAATGTCAGCACTAATATTCCTCATTCCACATCTTCATCTGTATCCAGTTGAACCTCTTGTAATTCTCTATCAATACTGAAGCTGTTTGAATTAGCTGCTGTAAAATTGCACTTGCATATGATATTTGTTGTTTTCTGTTTCATAGAACTTTGCTATTATTTCATTATGTTTTGATTTGCATCTCTGTAAAGGCTAATAATGATAGAGCTCTGGTAGCGTAGTGGTTACGAATCGGACTGCGAACCTTAAGGTCAGCAGTTTCAAATTACCAGCTGTTCCACAGGAGAAAGATGAGGCTTTCTGCTCCCAAAAAGATTTACAGCCTCGGAAACCCTGTACAGGGTCGCTATGAGTCAGAACCGATGCCACGGCACATAACAAAAACAACAAAGGCTAATGATCATGAGCATTTTTTCATATGCTTGTTGGTTGCCAGAATGTATTCTTTAGTGAAGTGTCTGTTCACGTCCTATGTCCATTTTCTAACTGGGTTGTTAGCCTTTTTCTTGTAGATGTGTTGAAGTTTTCTATACATTTTAAGAGATTAGTACCCTGTCTGACATTGTTGCAAAAAATTTTTCAGTCTGTTGTGTCCCTATTTACTCTTTTGGTGAAATCTTTTCATGCACCTAAGTATCTAATTTTTAGGAGGTCCCAGTCACCTAATCTATCTTCTGCTATTTGTGTGTTTGGTGCAATGGTTGGCAGTGCATTTATGCCATTGATGAAAACTCCCAAGTTTGTCCCTATTTTTCATGATCTTTATAGTTTAAGGCTTTCTTTACATTTAGGTCTTTACTCCACATTATTTCCTTAGTGTACAGTGAAAGATATGGGTCTTGTTTTATTCTTCTGCAAATGGATTTGCAATTCTACCAGCACCATTTGTTGGAAAGACTATCTCTTCCCCATTTAATATGCTTTTATACTTTGTCAAAGATCAGCTGACTGTTTTATTTATCTATGTATCGTTCATTGTACCAATATCAAGCTGTTTTGACCACTATGGCTGTGTAGTATTCTTTGAGATCAGGAAATGAGAGGGCTCCAATACTGTTCTTCTTAAGCAGTGCTTTACTTAACCAAGCTCTCTTTACTTTCTATATAAAATTAGATGACTTTTTTTCCATTCTATTAAAGAATTATGTTGGAATTTAGATTGGGATTATGTTATATCTATAGATTGCTTCGATCATTCGTACGTCAGTTTGTCGTATTATGATGGCTTGCATGTTGCTGTGATGCTGGAAGATATG